AATTTTGCACGTGGTCGAAGTATAGTAAAATTCGCATTCCTGGAGTAGTTGACTCGTGGAAAAGAAAATCGTGTTTCCTGATGAGCTAATAAAGAGGATTACAGTTGCTTTTTACTACGAAGCGGGACATTTTACAAGTGTAGACTCGTTAATATCATGAAAGGTTATCCCTGTTCTTGACTTCTTTCTCGTATCTCTTCCGCTTTCGCGAACCGTCTAATTTCAGAATAATGGTACGTTATTCGAACTTGTAAACAAAGGAGAGTACTGCTAATAAAATGATTTGTGACTTCATTTCAACAGAGCGGTATAAATTACGGAAACTAGACTTTAAGACCCTTAGCTGTGCAATAAAATCGACAGAATAGCTATTATTTATTGCAGCATTAATTTATCGTATTACGAGTATTTAAATTCAACCATAAATCAAAGAATACGTAGATATCCATGCAAATCAACCATGAAAAAAGTATCGATAAATGCCTAGGAAATTTCATACTCAATTACCATACTTAACCCTAGAAATCGAAAAGAAGGAAGATATCTAATGAAAATATTTAATTTTAACGCCAATCAAGAAACTGAATAGGTATCCGATCGAGTATTTAACACGTTGAATGCCAGGGGGGTCACCGGTGACGGCACCACGAAAAATGCATTAAACGCGATTATACAACTCACCTTATCTGTTGTAAATAATATTTCAACATAATATGCATCGCATAATAGAAAATTCATCGTGACGCCACGGGCAATCCCTGTAAAACTGGTGTGGCATTCAACGTGTTAAACTCGACCGTGAAAGAAGAAATTAATATTCGTCCAAGCTTCATAAACTCGATGGAAGTTGAAGATCGTAGAAGGCGGAGTCGCGCGGGAAATCCGACGAGTACAATAAGGAAGAGATTGAAAGGAGACTACCTTCCGGTAGGTGGGGTCGAAATGAATGCAGATTAAAAGCGAAAGGAAGAAAATGTAGTCGAGGTAGTGCGTGCCTGCCGGGGGTAGACGTCTCCTGACGTCTTTTTCAGAGTTCGGACGAGACAAGATGCGCCACGGAGAGCGGCGCTGCTGTCTTCTTTCTCTCGTTCGTTCCACGGCACGATTATGATTTCTCACAGTCGGTTGTATCGTTGGTGTATCGTTTATACACCGAGAGCCTATGTACACGCCGCAATAACAATAACAACGAAGCATAGCAGTGTAAGAAACCCCGGTGCTAGCTAACTGCAACTTCTGAACTGCCGCAGAGTTTTAAGTACTCGCGAGTAACAGCTCGAGGTTGGGCGAGATAGATAAGAGGTTAAAAGGTTTAACTGCGAGATCGCGAGATTCTCGAAATAGTTGTACTATTAACGAATCTTCGCACGGCTTATGGTTTGCCTTGTGTGAAAACGCCTGGCTCGCTTAGCAGCGGGCTATTCAGCTGTTTCATGGTTCGTGGTAGTCATTCATGAACGATTGAAAGCGTTATAATTAAATAACACTTAGCGGATGAAGAACGCGTACGTTCACTTTTGGATTCGTCAACTTTTACGAGGCGTAGGTCTTCCATCTATATGCTTTGCGGTTTTAGCCGTGAGAAACACTTAAACGCGTATTCGTGTGTCTGTGAAATATTCATGAGAATGGGGCTCTAAATCGTGATACGTTTGGAACGTGATCATTCGAAATGCAAATATTTGAATATCACGTGATCTATATCTCTATTTGCATGGCTGTTGAGAAACGGACGCTTGGTTGAGGAAAAATCGAACGAGATATGCATGTGGAATAACAAGTATCTCACGATGACATAATTTCTATACAAAGTTCGCAGAAGTGGCACGCAGAAAATTGCCATGCGCGGAAAATTGCTCACGCTCGTAAATTCGGTCCCGATTCTCGCACTGCTATACTTGTTTGCGCTCGTGATTGCGAAAAATCAAATTACCGTTGTCTTTGCATCACGTGCTCGTAAGCTAGAAATAATAGCTCGTTGTTTTGGCGAAAACCCGTTACGATTTATGGTTCCGAACGAGATGCTCGCGTCTCCAGCAACGTGTACAAACTGACCCAACTTCATCCGGCAGCCTCGACCAGATCGGTTCAACCCACGCGTATGAAAAGCAGAAGAAGAAGAAGAAGAAGAAGAAGAAGAAGAAGAAGAAGAAGAAGGAGGAGGAGGAGGAGGAGAAGAAGAAGAAGAAGAAGTATAAGAAAAAGAAGAAGAAGAAGAAGAAGAAGAAGGTATCAATGAGAATACCAGGCTGTGATTCCCGGAACGATCAACGGCCGATAACTCCTTAGCCCCGAAGACCTAAACAATGCCGGATATTCGTATCACTTGTAGGATAGTAGATAACCTCTCTGTCCTCGTCGTGCTCCTTTTTCAGCTTCGTTTTCCCTCTTCCTCGACTGTGCTTTCCTGTTGCCACGGGGAGTTGCCGACAAGGCGGTCGTCGATTGCAATTTGCCGATACGATTCTACCTGCCGCATTGCGCGCTGTGTTTCCTCCCTTTCTCTCTTTCTTCTCCTATTCTCCTCCTTATCCTCCTTACACGATCCCTCCCTTCACCCCGTTTACTTCTCTTCCTCTATCTATTTATCTATATCTTCTTCTTTCCGTTCGAGTTCGGTCGGCTTAAAATCCGTGTGTCGAGACCAGTCGGTTTGTACTAGGTGGTACCGGGAGATACATCTCTCCCGTGGTAACTACCCATAGAGGGCATCTAAGCGGTGGACCGAGCCAATATGTATCGCAGACCTCGCTTGTGTGTAGATGGCACCATATCCGCCTGCAACTTGAAATTGACGCGAGTAAGATGTGATACCGACCAGATACTATATGACATAAATTAAAAAATTTAAGAAATTTCTGGAACATTAATCTCTTTAAAATGACTTATTAAAAGATAATCTTCTGGTAAGTACTTGCAGTGAGGTTTTCTGATTGTAACATACTTGTTTAATTTCTTATTTCGATGACTTGTAACGAATTTTGTTTGTATCACCATGCGTGAAGATTTTCCAAAATTGTGAATTTGATATTCATAAATATAACATATCTAGTAGTATTAGACATGTATTAACTATCCCTATATGAACTAGTATTTGTGACAATGTTGTATTACAGTTCATAAGGTTCTCAAGCATAATGTGTGAACATATTATATGTCAACAGTTTTCTTTCACTGGATGAAATATCGACGAGACTTTTCTCGATTTTACAAAAGTACAATATATCAACTGTAGATTAGGATACAGCTTGTCATTGAGGGAATCACGCGGCGTGACGGTTCACAATGGATCGTTTTCTTGAGCCGGCACAGGACTTGATCAGGAATCGCTTTAACGACGTAGAGTGACGAAGGAACTTGGCTCGATGTCTTAACAATTGAACCGTTTGTATGCGCCGTTTGCTCGTGCATTGTATACACATAATATTAAATTCGCAGCAAGGTATACCTGAGAACTTGTCTTACTGTTGGAAAATCAGTACACTTCAAGTAAGATGGGTTCAAATATTTTTCAGAATATTTTAGATTAAACTTCATTAAGTTGCCGATATAAATATTTCCCTATTTTAAATCATTTTTAATCGATCCTTTCTTTCATCGTGAAATATCAAAATCTATTGAACTAGTATTCAATGAAATAACTAGTATTTTTCCCGTTCAATGCTGCCAACATATACATCAGCGTTTATTTACCATGACTATAGACATATTGTATCCGATAGTATCTCCTTACCAATGTGAAAAAAAAACTTCGACAGCTCATCCTTCTACAATAGAAGATAATATTCGCGTTTGTAATGGGTGTGAAAATGTGGTCTGAACAAAAGAACCCGCTATACATTTGCCACGGGTATCCAAATGAGTCGACAGTCTGCATCGACATTCGGAATATCAATTTACTTGATGATGCGTCACGAGATGTTTTCGCATAAGATATAAGGGAAAAATATCGTATAAACTGGCAAATACGGTTATAATTAACTAATTATTCAAGTATAAGCAGAGAATGAAAATTTGTTGGAATTTTATCTACCAACGAAGCTTGCTCATATTTGAAATATTTTTTTTCTCCTTCCACTCTTCAATTAATTTCACGAACATCTTTTTCAGATTTACCTAATTCTGAAATAGGTTTAATATTTGAGATAAGACATTTTTTTTAATATCATTTTGTTGTATATACTCTTCTTTGTTTCTTTCTTGTTATTCTAGTACATTTTAAATCCTATACTCTTATGAAAGGTTTTATAACTGCTGCAGCCCCATTTTCCTCTTGTCTTTGAATAAAACCTCGTTTTCTTTACTTCTTATAAAACTCTCAACTTCTTCTCTTTACCATGTTGCAACCGAATAGCGAAACCCTATAGCAAGTTCTCTAGGAGCACCGATGGCGAAAGTCTGATAGCATTGACCAGCCGCTTCCTAAGCCAGTGTCATTTCATCAATTATAAGCGTCAATGCAGATACAAGTACAAGCACGCAAAGGGAGGCATGATCACAGTGCGTACCTACGTGTACACTAAGCGTGTAGATGGAAACATGCACGGGCAGGGTAGGGTGCCAACCCATCCGTGGGCGGTTCCGGCCGATTCGCTCGAATAGTCTTGAAATGATCTCGAAGGACTCGAGACTTTCCCATGGTATGTAGCGCCCCCATTGACAGGCGGGCAAGTGTATCAACGGGAGAATCCACTCTCTAAGTATTGTTATTCCAAAGAAAGTAAACCGCACCACTGCCACCCTCCCGTCTAGCGGCGTGGACCTTCGATTATTAATGGCAGCGGTGGTGGTCGCTCGTCCGTGCAACACGGGCGCAAAAGTGTGCATCCGGTTTTCTACCGGCGCGCAAAGCTCGTTCTTCTCTTCAGCCTCCTAGAAACCTCGTGCTGGCGTTGCCACCATGACGCTGCTCCGCAACGCCGGAGCGGACGACCTTGCGCCGTCCGTAAGAACAAGAACCTTACAAGCGCACATCATGCTTCAAGGGATCGATCCCTGTTTTTTCCACTCGTGTACTTTCTTTTTTATTTTCGAGCGACGATCACTGTGCTTCAAGGGTCGGACTGTGAAATTGGGCCAGGTGCATATCGATGTTGCGTTACCTGCAAAAAAATTAGATTCATGAAGGCTATATTTTGTGGCTAATTTCCGATGTGTATGTGAAAGAAAAAGTCTTATAAAGGTTTTTACGATTAAAATATTTACCTCTTTTTCCCTTCAGTGATGTACTTGTATGTACTTTTCATGTGTACAATATGACTAAGAACGAATCCTAAATGTTTTGATTTCGTCTGTGTTTTTGATGTTTGGAGGTTAAGTACGAATAACTCATCGATCGAATAAGTAGTCCGTTTGGTTACTGTGACTGTGTCAGGCTTAAAATAATAATGACGCAAAGGAAGAGTTGTCATTCGATAAAGCAAGCTTTAACAACACGAATAAACGTACGAAAGAACGATGTTTTTTCGTCGCACATACCTACATAGCTCGACCGCTTGCCATCCTCTGTCGGCGAGATATCCAAGATAGACGCTTCTTGTGTCGCGTCTCGCGGCTTTTTCCTGCTTGTTCTTTCGCTTTTCTCGCTCACTTCCTTTGCTGCCACGTGTTATTCTTATTGGTTTGTTTGCGCAGGCCTGACTTGCTCCCTCTCTATCCCTTGCGCATGGAGTGTAACACGCGTGCGCGGCAGCTGAAGGCGTACCACAGGGGAGACGACAGAGCCGATACCCCATTACGCGTGCTTCGTTTATTTTGCGGCTTTGCACGTTACAGATCTTACTGTAATATTCCTTTGTACTTACAGCGGCGGGATTCCCTCTCATTATACTTTTTCTCGCGCCAACATTATACGGTACGCGCCCTATTTCTCTCCCCGCTACTCGACGTTCCCCTTCGTTGTATCTCGTTTCCTCTTTTCTTGTTTCTCGCTCCTGCGCCGCCCTCTCTTCTCGCGTCTTCCTTGCTTGTGTTCAATTCCCTTAAACTCCTCTCCACCAGTCGCTCTCGGTTTTACGATACGCACACTGTAATCCCGCGGCACGTCGTATGCCGATTCCAAAAGAAAAACACCGAGACTGTGAGATCCGGCGCGCGGTCAGCTCGGTTTCAATCTGCGTACATTCCATTTAAGATGAATGTTTTTTGCTGCTCTCCAGCCCCGTCGATTTATAATACATCTCGGTAGAGGGCGGGAGTGTGGAAGAAAAAAGAAAATTCGTGCTCGTTACATAGATGGCGTCGCTCGCTTTCGCACGTTTCCCGCCATTTAACACAACCAAGAAAACTTAATTGGAAGAATTTATACGATGATTTCGAGCTCCACTTGTATTGCATGTTATCGTTTATAAGAATCTTGCAAATGTTTATATAAATTTTACCACATCGATTCGGAGCGTGTGAAACGTGGTTGCACGTATAAACATTACCTAGCATGATGCCCACGATGCTTCTTGCCTAGTTATCATGCACTTAGAATAGATTTAAATAATCGAGAATTTTGCGTAAATTATATTAACAAGCCCTTAATTCTTTGAAGTAGTTAAAAAGGAGAGTTCCTTGATTTAGTCGGATCTGTTAAAGTCCGCGTATGTATATTTTACATAAAAATTAACTTTGATACTGAGAAGATTATATTAGTGAAATAAATAAAGAATCATGATCTGATAGTGACTCTAATAAAATCATTATTAAAAGCCATCATTTTTCAGCGATACGCAATGATATTGTCTCACACGAGAATCAATTGAATCCAGTACAATTCTCACTTCACGAAACGTCATCACTTCTTTTCGTCATTCATAAGCTAAAACCGTCTTACCTTAATAATTTCTTTTATCCAGCCAAAAACAAGCCAGTCCGACAAAGAAACAGAAAAACCGTCGGGTTAAAAGGGGTGTCGGTTGACGTCGTAAATTGCTTCTCCCCTGGATTTATGCGTAATCTACGCTGACCCACGGCAGACGGTTTAATGTTGCAGAGTTATGCGTCGAGGATGAACAGGCACCGCGCGCGCGCCTTTGCAACACTGTAACAACACACGTTTAAATACGCATCTACATGCGTAAAGGGCACAACATGTGCATAACACTGGAAACAGAAGAGGGCCAGTTTACGTCGATGCATATGCACACAGGATTCTGTCACCGCATACACGCAAAATGTATACACGCAACATAACCTACATGCGCGCAGAAGATACGAGCGCGTGCGCACTAGGGGGGTGCAGGACAGGTTGCGAAGCGTCAATGCGTGCAAGCGAGCAGCACGCGTGCGCGAGGGCCGCGAGGTGGATGACGCGTTGTGCTCAGGCGCACAACCCAGACCTAGCCCAATCTTGACGGCCCACGCCAGTCCCTGCGAGGGAGTAGCCGCGCATAACGCGTTCTGGGATGAAGCTGGAGAGTGGAGGTCGATGAGCGGACAGGGGAAAAGAAGAATGAACGGAGCGGGAAGGAAAACAGGAGAGGAGGAAGAGCAGCGAGCGGTGCTATAAGAGTTAGCAGGGCGGTGCGTGGGTCACAATGCCCGTAGGGTACAGAACCCCTGCTCTTTTCTTTCTTCTTTCTCCTTTTTCCTCCTCTTCCACCTCTCTTGTGGTCGTCGTCGTCGTAGCCGTCCTCAGGCACGTCGTCTTCGTCGTCGTCGGTCGGTCGGTCCATGCCACGACTCGTTATGGAAAGCATACGGGATATTGTTGCTCGTATATATGGAGAGTACGAGGGAAGTGCGCCGTGCTTGTACTATGCAGATGATTCCGCGATATGGGCTATTCATTGTGAGTCATTTAAGAGTTTATGCGGTGGGTACGGGCCGCGGCCGCGTACGCGCGATATGTTATTATATTGCGTATCGAAAGGTCCGCTGGTAACGCATGCACCGCTGGCTGATCGTAGCTCGCGGTCCTTCGCGCCGTCCGCGCCGAGAACACAGCTGCGGCGCCCCCTTCTGCTTGGAATATATAACCAGTACAGGTGTAGTTGCTAGATGGCCGCGAATCTAAGAACGTACCTGAAAGCTCACTTCGTTGATCAATACTTTTATCTAAAATATAAAATAAATATTATATTAACAAATCGAATTCTGTTTTACATAAAAACTAATTCTAGTCTAGTTATGGGTTCATAACAAAACTAGTACTGTGTAGGTATAAATAATGCTATATCTTGAAAGTGACCGTTTTCAATTCGATCCAAACTAGATCTGAACGATATTATTATTCGTATAAGATAAGATTGGATCAAGTATGATTTTTTATCTAATAATTTAAAAAAAAATTTGTGTTTAAATATTTGTATCACTTAACGAATAAAAAATTTAAATAACGATGGAGTTATGTATTATATAAATATGTATCAGTCCTTTGTCACAGAAATATCCATCATTTAAACAATTTCAATATTACGATGATAGTAAAAGTAATAGAGCATCATTATGCAATTTTAAAGACAATCAAATACGATTAGCCTACGCTGAAGGAATCAGCCAGGGAATCACAATATATTTTTCTTCGTTGAAAATTACGCTCCTTTCCGAAGAGCAACATTTCCTTGGAACGGGAACAACATATAGAGCATGCTAGACGCTCTTATACCATAGTGGCTCTTTTGCAGAGTATCGATGAATAAACAGGCAGAGTTGCGATAAAACGCCCGAAGCTGTCTGTGGTCGGTGTGTTATGCATACGAGAGAGCAAGGGTAAATGACGGAGGTGGCAGCGTTGATGATGGTGGTGATGCAAAACATGATAATAATAATGACGACGTAGACGTCGCCGGGAATGAAGCGGACACGCGTCTACCCGCATTTCTTTAAATTTTATACAAACCAGATCTCAACTAACGGAATGAAACGTCACTGAAACTCGATGATCGGTGTTTCACTTTTTGATTTCACTCGGTACCATCTTTTTTCCTTTAATCTCTTATTTATTTATTTAATATTTTATTTTGGTAGCACTATTTGTCATTTCAAATTAATATTTATGAAATTCAATTTTTCTTTTTTCAAGTAATTCGATAATCAGTATTTGATGATATACTTTAAATTTATTTATCGAATTCTTTTGCTCGTTATCTAGATTTAATTCCATCAAAACTTAAATTCTTTGGACGACTCGAAAATCGAAACGATGGAGCCACTTGTACCATTTTTATTCTGTTACTGAGATCTTGTTTGTTACGTCGGCTTAATTTCTTTGGAATTCGGATTCTAATAATCGAAGGTTCAAACTCGATGGTATCATACCTTTTACTTGTTATATAGATACATATCGATGATTATCTCGAGTTAATTTCATTTAACTTTAAATTCCTTCTACAAAGTGGGCCGATGAATTGAAGGGATAAAAAAAGTAGAACCCTCCAGCTACCAATCGTCGAATCAAGTTATACCACCCACGCGATTCACCTCCGATCGAATTACCTTCACGATGGGTTCCATTTGCTGTGCTCTCTTCGGTTGGTCGCTGCTGCATCGAAGATCTTAATACCGTGCATAAATACACTCAAAAGTAGAGACCGTTTATTCTTCGTTTCAATCTTTGAATGATTAGGAATATTTCTTAAAAACTGCTCCACTTTTAATTCATACTAAATACTTACGTAAATAAGTTACATTTCAAATCTAAGTAATCTTCTAATACTTAGATACCTTCCTGCAAAATTAAATAAAACATATGAGAATAATTTTCGGTTGTACATTAATACATGAAATTGTATGAATGTAATACAATTTACTAAAAATATAAAGAAATAGGATTTTACATTAAGATAAAAATACCTTTTTTTTACAGAAGATAGTCAAGAGAGACAAAGTTTTTGCAAATACTATTAAGCTTATTCAGTAAACTGCTAATCTAGTCCAAAAAGTATTAGGTATTTATTATGGAGAAATCAGCACCTGAAAAAAATAACGTGTATTAAAATCAGTGAAATTGGTAACAGAGTAGCAAGGGACGTAGTATACTCACATGACAGTGGAAACATAGTAATCTTTTAGACGCTTTGAAAGATACGCGAATTCTTGAAGGCCTGTTCATGAAACTATATTTTTCATATTTCTTTGCAGGAAGAGTATAGCCAACGCAGACGCCTATCCACTCCCAGCGGCAGTCCCAGTCCGCCCAGGCCGACAAGGCTGTCAAGATCTACGGGTACACTCACTAGAGAAGAGGAATCCTTTTGCGAGTCAAGCAACACCCTCACCAGAGAGAATCAGGGACAAGAAGCTGAGAGGAAGGGCTGGTTCAAGTCTCTGTCTAGGAAGAACAAGTCAAACATTAAAGTAAGTTTCAATTCCCCTGAGACACCTATATATAATAAAAATGAAAATTTTGTCTCAAAGGTTTTATTATAAACTTTCTGTTTATATGATAAAGTATAGGAAATGGACTATAGCTAATAATAATTAAAACTAGGAAATATATAATAAGAATAAGAAAATAAGCAAGTTTAAAGGACAGAAATAGGTAAAAATTGGTTACAATCAATATCTTAGATGATTCATAGAAAATAACGAAATGTGTTGCAAATTTAATATTGTGAATTTTACGAGCTTATTTATTCTTCTGATAAACTAGTTCAAATGTTGAAAGAGACACAAATGATCAAGGAACATCGCATAAAGTATTCCGGTTTATGATATCATTCATCTGGAACGGTTCTCCAAAGTAATCAAATTCCTCTATGAGACATTCCAAAATTGGTTACGAGTGGGCGACGTTTTAGTGGAGAATGGACTCTGAGCTTTTCAACTATGTTGCGTGCATAATATCGCGATAAACGCCTACACAGTGACGCGATACGTTTACAACAAAAATTAAAGAATTCCTAGCCAGCTGATGACATTTCCGTTTCCACTGAAGGAATCGTTTCTCTCTATTTTGATCGTCGCTCTCGAGATATCAGAGGGTTCCCTGAAAAATACAAAATCACAATGAATAATATACATATTTCCATGCAAGCATAAGGATACAAACCCTTATCAAATAGGCAAGAAGTTTTTGACTGTTTTTATAGTAAAAGACTCCGAAGCTAAGTATATGATTTTTGTGAATCCAACCGATAACGAGCGGATGGATCGTGGGTCCGGTTATCGAGTTCGCGGCGAGCCGACTGAGCAAGCCAGTGCATTCATCAGTCAGCAGAGGTCGCTACGGAGCGGAGCCATTAGGCTGGTACAACCTCCAATTACCAGTTTGATTAAATGCTTAACTAACTCCGCGCTCTGTGGTTTAATTTAATCGCGAGATTAAGTGCCGATCAGGGGGCTGCCTAGCTTTTAACCATCGTCCGCGGAATAATCTCTGTCAGGCACCGATTCCGATCCTCTCTAGCCGCTTCGATAAGCCGACTAGCCGTCTCTGTGGCTATGGCCGTTCGAGATGATTGCGTGCGCGTGAATCTCGCCGTGGACGATGATCTATCGGGGATGAGTCGATGGGCAGGGGAACGGGAAAGGATCATGACTCATGAAGGCGCCACGGATGGAAACGAGCGGGAAGCCACGATTTTTTCTCGACCATGCAAAGAAAGCACCTTTGTGCTTGGCATTATTATATTTCGTATAGCGTAGAACATAGCGAACCGTTCTGTCTTTTTCCCTCTTTCTCCTTTGTTTTTCCTATCCTTATATCCCGTTGCCCATACGATCAGCGAACATCCCCCCCCCCCACCCTGGTTTCATTCGCATCTGAATCAGATTTATTAGACGACGGTGGTAATATAAATATATTTTTGTTCGATACCTTAGTTTTCGTGTGTCCTACTGTTTATCTCTTATAATACTACGTAATATTTCTCGTGAGTCTGTTACCGTTACTTTCATTGCTCTTGCTGTTTCAGACAGTGGATAAGAAGCCTAGAATACCGGAGAGCGAAATCTTAACCACTGGAACTGAGGACGAGGAAGCCTCTTCCGCGCCCGAACGAGTCTCCGTGCAAAAAAACTTGCGTTTCTTTGGAGACACTGATCAGGAATCTATCTCATCCAACAGAGATCGCAGGTAAATTATTTGCTTCGTTTTAAAGTTTGAGTGCTTACAGGGCGTTAACGCGAAAACTACTGACTAGTCAAAATAACTACTATAACTACTAATAATCAAAATGACTACTGAACTAGTCAAAATAATTATTTTCAAACTTTATACATTTACAATTACTAAATTCGATATTATATTGAATTTCAATAGTTTCGATGTTAAAAAATATAAGAAAACAGTGTTATAATAGTTTACGTATTAAGATACATAAAGATTTATTGGTTAATCTATTAATAGCAAGCATGTAATTTCTATCATTAGATACATTGAATCTCCCTTGAAAGCCTTTTTGTATCTTAAAGATAAATTTTATCTAAAGTTCGAATTCACCTGCTTTTTATGTATATATTTATTTATTCTTTGCTATCCGATATCAAATTTTTGTAAATTTTACGCAAAATACATATAATTATTTTTAACAACAAAATTACATAATAATAAAACAAAATATAAGATAGATTTAATTGTACATATAATTATCTGTATTTTATAGAAACAAACGAGACGACCATGCCTGTTCTGGGCGTGATGTTACGAATTCGAGTCGTCACAATTTGGGTATCCTATCGCCACCCCGAAAACCACCGAGGCTCACTGAAAGTGCGTTATCTTCCGGTGAAAGTACAACGGGAGATAGCAGCCAACAAAGTCAAAATTCTCAAAGATCACAGAGATCTGTTATATACCTTCATGCTGCTACAGGTAATTAGCAATTTTTGAATATAGTAAAACAAATTAAATATGTTACTATATATCAATATAAAAGGAATACTCTAAAAGAATCATTTTATCATAATTAGAAATGTTTGTACTTAGGCAACTTTTAAATATCTTTTTATATTTTGTTATAAAAGTAACAAAGGAAGATATTCAGCAATTTTGTTTTTAACCAGTTTGTTCTATGTAACAAACGATTTCTATTGTACTATTCATTGCTATATTTCATAAAAAGTTTTTCATTTGCTCTAAACATTTCATTAATATAAATATAAAAACTATTTTAATTAATTAATTATATATCTAAATGTCTTAAACATAATAATATTTTTGTCTAAGTGGGCGAAATACCTGGCCCCAATGAAAGACGCAGGGCAGCGAGCAGAGAAGAATTAAATCGACCACTTCAATCACACACAAGAACAGTATCAAGAAGTGTCAGCGTCCTCGCACCTTGGAAGCCCCGACATTATAGGGAACCTTTCGAAATAAATTATGATCAACAACTACATCCAAAACCATTGACGACTATGAGACGTAGACAAAGAAGTCGTGAAACGTTAAGTCGTCGAGGAAAAGATGCACGAAGAAGCAAAGATAATCTCTCAAAAACCGGTAAAAATAAAACAATCAAAATGCTTCTATAAAATGTGTGTAAAAAATTTACATAAAATTCAAATATAACTGTGCAATAGTTCTATTAAAATAAAAACAAACTTTCATATAATTTTTATAAAGTTTTGTCAATAAGTAGGGAATAAGAAGATACTTAATTTATAAAAGACTATTTTTATAAATATCCGTAATTTGACTAAATTAATTTGATTAAACTCTTTATCCACATTTTATGTCTGAGAAATCATGTATTGCAATAATGAATTAATATTTAATTGTAATACTTATTTCAACAGGCACAATCAATCGTAGTACGTTGAAATCGAAAGACAAGCAGAAGGTGGATAGAACCGTTTCCACGGAATCGTTGGCCACCAAATCACGAAGTGTTAATTCGAAACCAGAACTAAGCAGGTCCACGTCGGTTCCACGCGATCCGAATAAAAGTGCGGGATGGTTCAAACTAAAAAGCAAGAAGTCCCGAGCTTGAAGAGGAGGCCATTGATCAATGCTAGTCTTGAGTTTCATAAGTAATTCATAATCGTAAGGGATTAACGACAACACACGCATCGATCCACCGCAATGCTCGTGGAAGATATAATTGTAAACGAGTTATTATTTTATCATTTTATTTTGTGTTTCTTTTAATGTACAATGAAATCCGCCTGAGAACGTGAAAAGATTAATAATTAAATAAGTAATTCTTATTAACCGAATAAAAAAAGTTGACAAGTTTCTTTCCGTTGTTTTAATATATAATCATTCTATCTACAATTAATATAAATTTAATTATGATGTTGATTTGTGAACCACAATTGCGCTTACAGTACTTTTGTAAACGAATTATATGGCTGCATGCGGATTCGTAACGAAATGTAAAATTATCTGAATATGTACACACGTTGTTAAAACACTACCTTTTAGTTGTTTCATTGACTGACACACTATCCTTTTAACGTGATAATTAACGAAATTAAGCTGACAACAGAAGAGGATCAGTGAAAGAAGTATGACTGGAAGATATAAACTTACACAAAGCATCAACTTTTACTTTAATGAAACTTCCAAAAACTAATTTTCCTTCTACAATAGAGCCTTCTCTCTTCCAAATTTAACAAATTAAATTTGTTGCATAAGATGAGAATGCATTCAAAATCAAAAATACATTATTATCTTTCTTATAACAAACACGTTATACGTAATTTAATAAATTCAAAACTTCATCCTTGTAATAAAAACATGTTATAAATGTGTTTATAATAAATTACAAATTAAGGGTGTGATTTACAAAAACGGAGGGAATTAATTTCATTTCACCGTGAATCAGAGTGCCATTTCCGTTTTTCTAAGTATGTACAACATTATTATTTCAAGTAAAATCAAAATTTTTAAACCTGCAAGATAATTCTTAATGTATTGATTATAACAGGTGGTACGTTTTAACATAAGCGATAGCGTAACAGACTAAAAGGAAAAAATATTTGTTAAATTATGTTACAAGCATCACCATCTTTAAGTTGTATGTACAAGAAGATACTTAGTAGTTATATGTATAATTTCTAAATGTTTATTGTGCATAGATCAATTCGATCTTATTTACATACACTAATTGTAAATATTTGTAATAATAATCTTTATTTCTAACTATAACTTTTATACTTACTTTATTTTGTTTCCACTTAATTTTTTTCTCTCATTTTACAATTTTTTAAACTGATTACAAGCATCTGATGTTAACAGTAAAAACAGATATTTTAAAAAATCTAAATGAATTTAATCTGTTTTACTGTGAGATACTATTATTTCATACAACGACATGAATTCGATAATCCATCCACAACTTTCATTCCTATTTGGTGCTGTTTATTTGACATGTATATATTAACGATTATGGATGTAAATATAACAGATATATTAACAGTGTATTGTTCTATCTACAAATTTATATTATCTATTAACACAATTATTTACTTCTCTACAAATGTATGAAAAAAATGTTAAATGCCTTAGGATTGAAGGTCCAAAATGAATTATATTTTGTAACACAGTTATTAATTTGAAATAAATAAATAAGCATAATACCAAATATTTTCAGTACTAAGAAAGAGTCAGTGTCATATGTTTCATGTATTTTATAACAGCATGCAACTGACTAAATAATTAACAACAATTAAAAACTGTATTTTTCATTTATATAAGTATTGTAATTAAATTATATATAATATAAATGTTATTCTATTTAAGATATAAGAATAAACATAAGAATTCTATAAAATTTTAACTACTTTTTATAATTAATAAAATTATAACACTCTAAAATGAAGTGCTAAATAAACTTAAAGTTATATAGTATTATCTATTTTATCCCAACAACAAAGGACTGTTCCAATCAAAATTAATATCATCCCAATGTACGTATCTGAAAATAAAAATAATTCATATGGATTCTATTATAAATTATGGATATTAAAAAGTACTAAATTATATAAACTTTTATGTATTTTTTCTTCACCCAAGATCCAACCAGTTATTGCAGTTATCATAAAAGTAATAGAATTGGTAACAGGAACAGCCAATGATATATCTGCTTTACTCAAAGTTAAAAAATATAACACAGAACCAGACTGATTAATGATAAATGGTATAATGTACTAAAACAATGAAAATCAATTAATAAAATTATATTATTCTTGTATATTTAAAATAATAAAACTTTTAAAGGAAACCTTTAAATTTGTAATAAGAAATGCAGATTCTTTAAAAAATTGACCAAATTTGGAAGATGATTCCACATTTTCTAAACCTTTAGCTCCTTTTTTAATAAATGGGTTAGATACACCCCACAAAACTGCCACAAGGATAAGGGACGTAATAGAATCTATAAAATGAAAAAATTTATTAACTTTATTATATATACAGAGTGTAACTTCATCAGTTAGAATAACTCCAATTTGATAATATTCAAAAATGTTTTCGACATAAACTGAATAGTTTCAAGAGATACATAAGATAGGGAAATCAATTTTTTTTGTAGTTGAACGCGAGAAAGAGATTTAAAGTCAATTTTACTTTTTTAAATGGACACACATTTTTTAATACATTATTTGATCCACCTAATTATTCCTCCACAAAAAAGTATTTGTCTATTTATACCGAAAAACCATTATTTTAGAAGATATTTACATTTATAGGTTATTTCTACTTTTCACTTATTACTTAAATTGAACTAAAATTCATAGTTAAGTAAAATTTATAGTATGATTAAGAATTCATGCAATATATAATAACTTATAATTTAAACAATAATTTACAATATCAATAAGGAAACGAACCTAATAATATAAACAATAATTTACAATATCAATAAGGAAACGAACCTAATAATATTGACGTTTTCTTACCTAAAGATACTGACATCTTTGTTATAATTAAACAGTTACTAAATAATTACTGTTTATTGTAATTCAATAATTAATGACGAAATTACTATATACTAAATATTTTTATTGAATTTCAAAGGGAAACACATTGACAGGTATTCAATGTATATTATATTATAAAAATAATAATTATAGATGTATTCCTACATACATTTCGTTTATAATTATAAAATATCATATCCTGTACTGTATTTGTCATTTTATAACTATATTTAATTTTAATTTTAGCTTTCACTAATGTCACAATTTTATTTTATGTTAAATTCATTATAAGTAATATCAATGTAGTATAGGGCACGCTAACCTCTAAAATGTAAAATAAAAAATTAAATCAGATACTAAATTTATCTTATATCTTATTTGTATTACATTTTTCTGACAATATAATAATATTTTTATAGAATAAGTTTAAATTATTATTTAACTATGAAAAGCTATTAGTATTTAATAAATTTAAAAAATATCTTAATCCCATACAGTAGAATATTTGTTACAGTATTGAAGAGATAAAAAATATTATTACATATTTCTCCTATTATCTAAAAATATAACCTACCTCAAAGAAAATTCTTTTTTAGTGAAAAAAAATGACCGGGAAAACTAAAAATATGGATAATAATTTACCACTACCTCCTGATAAAATGCCTAAATGTTGGAACGAAGAAGAAAGGATTAGTGCTTTATTTTCTCCTTTTCGGAGTAAATCAGCTAATTCACAAGATTGGGTATCAAAATATAAATTTTGGCAAAATTTAATTTATGAATGGCTAAAGCACACTAAAAGGAGCAGTTTTTCTATTGTAGATTTGAATAATGTCTTTAAAAGAAAAGGTTGTTCACCACTTTGTTTAGTGACTGTTGTTGAAGAACTTCTTCGGTAATATTGCACTTATGAATAATAACAATACAATTAAAAAGAAATTTCTATTCTAACTATACATATTCTTACATTAAAATTGAATTTATGTAATATTGTAGGAAGAATGAAATAATTCCAGAGATTCAATTTTTGAAGGAACCTTGCGAAACATGGGCAGCATGGTCAATTGATATATTTGTAAAAAAGCCACTTACATGGTCATTTTCCAAAGTTAAAAATTATGTTATTAATAATGAAATTAACAAAGATACTAAATATATACATTTACAAATTGTTAAAGAATTAGGAGATACTTTAGTTTCCATTTTAGAAAGGAAAAAAGAAAGTATTCTCGTACCATTTTCTGAGCTAGTAAAATGTTGTAAATTTGAAATAGATGAAAATATATCAGATAATACTGTGATGTTAATTTTAATATGGTTAAGACGTGAAAAAAGAGTAATTTTTAGAAATTGTAAAAATGAAAGTGAATTATTGATTAAAATTGCTATACATCCATCAGATAGTGTAACAGAAATTGAAGAAGGCTTATACAAGTTAATGAAACAAGAAAATGAACTTATAAAAGAAATGGAACTTATGGAAGAAGAAAAAATTAATATTATTAATGAAACTAAATCATATTTAGCTAAAGGGTTACGGCAAGTAGCAAAAACATATCTGAGGAAAAAAAAAGAATTAGAAAATAATATTGAAAAACGTGCACAAACTCTTGATAATATTCAGACTCTTATAACAAGTATTCAAAACACTTGCACAAATACTACTATATTATCAGCTTACAAAACAGGATCAGATGTATTAAAGAAACTTAATGAGAGTAATTTATCAGAGTCTAATGTTAAAGATATTATGGATGATCTTTCAGAAGTGAGTCAATTTTGAAACTAAATCATTTTTAATTTTCTTACTGAAACTATTCCATACTAAGATATTTGTTGATGTAAATTATAGGCTTTGGAAGAGCAAAAGGAATTACAATCTATGATGTCAGAGTCTTTTGTAAATGATGATTCAAATATTGATTTAGAACAGGAATTGGCAGAATTAATGAACGATAAAAATGTTTTTCCATCAATACCAAATACAGAATTAAATTCTAACATCGAGGAACTTCAAAGCAATTTGGAAAACTTACATATTAAAGGTAAAATATTTATATATTTATTTACATTATAACATTATATTATTTTGATGTTCTATATCATGATACGCTTTTGTAGAAGCTGCTGTATTGAATATATCACCAGAATTACCAAAAAAGGTTCACAATAAAAAAATATTAAAACAATCTGAACGTGCATGAATATAAATGAAATATGGATGATACTGAATTCACAAAGAAATGATTTATTTTTCTGATATAGTACTTATTACAGTACAGTGAATTGTTTTAAAAATCAGGCCTAAATGTAACTTCTAATTTATAAAAGTATATAATTTAATTATATGTTATTTAATGTTTCTGTATCAAAAGATTTTTCATGTGTTTATGTATTTTAAGATATGTAATATCGTCTTACACATTTTTTATTAAATATATTTGCAATATAGTATAACATATTTTTATTATTCCTCCATTTTAATAATATATGATGATGTATTTATGAATAAAATGATAATGGAATATAAATGTAATATATATAATATGTATTGTCATGGAGTTTCTCTACGAGTTTCATTGCCACATTCCATAACTAGAAAAAAGTAAACAGTACTTTAAATCACAATGGAAAAGTTATATGAATATATATAATTAAAAGAGTAATGCCTATATTAAATGTCTAATACCTAGATCATACGTTGTACATATTTAAATTAAACAATAAAAAATATCTACTGCTTATTACAGATTATCAATGAGCCACATTACTAGTGACCCATAAAATTAAGTTGAAAATATACTTAACTTTTGAAAAAACAAACATTGAGCATTTTAATATAATTACTTTATAAAAATTAATACAAAAATATTATTATATCACACGACATGAAGATATTGGTTTCTGTGCTTTGAATTTAAAAATTATATCTTGAATCCATGACAAGTGATTGGAAACTCGAGTGTATAAAGAATATGAATAACTATCACAAATTCTAACTCCTCCCACATTTTTTGTACCAAGGCTAACACTAACAATACCTTTTAAATACCACAATCCATATTTATAAAAAACTAATCCGCCACCACTATCACCATCACAAACTGATGAACCTGGAATTTATATATTATTAAATATTATTTTAATCTAAAATAAATACTATATTTTATATATTTATTGTTAAAAAAAGAATGAATATTTTTCACTAACCATTTGTGTACCCTGCACAAAACTTGTCATCTGTGATATATTTTTCTGTTTCATAAACTGTACTTGATGATTTACATTGATTGAATGGTACATATGGCACTGTAATTGATTGTAAAATATAACTAGATGACCCTAAAGCAGTTCTTCCAAATCCTGCAACTTTTCCATAACTTCCCGAGTCTAATATAATACGATTATTGATGTCTAAACATATAGGTACTAATACAGATGAAAATGTAAATGGTTCTGTAATTTCCAATATAGCTATGTCTCCAGCATAATTTCCTTCGAATCCAAAATAAGTACAAACCATGTACATATTTTTTACCTGAAATATATGTTAAGAATATAATTATTAAAACAGATTAAAACAGTTCAAATAATAAAATTAAATTACCTTTGCCTTTTTCACTACTGATTTATCATGAGCAATTGAATCATAATCTCTATAAATATTGCCTGTAGCTACATAATACAATGAAGGATCACTTAATTGTTTAGTATTGTCATCATAGACACAATGTGCTGCTGTAACTAGAAGGCTTTCATGAATAATAGTTGCACCACAAATAAATTCTTTTGGTGCTGTAGCATTGTTCGCTCTATAGAGCGTAGCATGCCATGGAAATTCACTAATTTTGGGTTGTGTTCCATGTACTATAAGAGGTGTAGTGTCTGGACGTTGAACACCACATACTAAAACATATATTTGGAGTATTAAATTATCAAAGACAATTGTTACTATATAAGTTATGATAGCAAATAACATCAAGATATTGATAACGTTATATTATTAATATTTTAATTTTATTATAATCCCAATTATTAATATATATATTCTTTTATATAAATAGATAATAAGTAATATAGATATATTTTAACTAATATACAATAATAAATAAAAATTTATAATATACTTGTATTAAAATTCGTATGCACTGTAATATAAATTTACTATAATTTTAAGTTTCATTAAATAATATATATAATCATTACAAATAAAATATATAGATGTAATTAATATATGTGACATTTTATACACCTCACTGGTATAATACATTTTTTTTAGTTAAGATATTTACTGTAATAATTTTAATGTATAATGTACTCATTATATATAACATTTTTAATTAATTCATTGTATTACATGATCTGAAATGATATTCCTATTTTTACTATCTCTGCCAAATCTAATGTCAATATCTGAATCCATATTTTCCTTTTTATTTCTATAAATAACAATTTTATCATCAAAAACTTCTATAAACGTTGAGTTATTTCTTTGTTCGTTAGTTTGTAATGAGATAGAAGTATTATGAACATGAATATTTATTATTAGCGGACCTGGAATGCATTGCATTGGAACTGGTTCCCATGTACCGTTTTTATTACACGTAACTTCAGATCTTGAAAATAATGTCGTATCTCGGTTGTAACTAGGACGACATGATAATATGGCTCTTGTTTGAGGTGGAACAGAATTTATACATGAAATATATCCATTTTCGTAAGTGCACTCAGCAAGTGTTGAAACTGACTCTAATCCCTCACAGCGTATTTCTATAATACATTAGCATATTCAATTTATATTTTTATTATTTAATGACATCATGTTACAATAACTTCTTTTTCATACCTGTACAAACTGGTATTCTTGACCATTTTCCACTTCGACTACAAAACACATCACTAGATCCGCTTAACCTATACCCAGGATTGCATTTGTATACTAAATATGCTCCTGGTGGTAACTGTATACCTTGTAGCACATCACAATGTTCACATGGTTGACCATATTGTTCAGTACAACATAGTGATTTGTGTAATTTCCAATAACCATTTTTTGGTTGCTGTGGCACAACACAAGATGTAGGTGCAGAAATAGTTGTTATAATAGGTGGAGTACGTGTTGTAGTAGTAGTAGTAAAAAATGAGGTATCAGTGTCACTTGTTGATGCAATATCTCTGCATAATTTAGGATCTTCATCTGAACCATCTGCACAATTTTTAACTCCATTGCACTTTAAATCACCATCAATACAGGCACCATAATGACAGCGAAAAAAGAGTTGTGGGCAGCTATAAATATTTAAAACAAGTATATACTACAAGAATTAATTACTGAATTAATTTTACTAATATTACTTAGTAATGTATTGTATATATATAAGTTACTGTATTATATTATGATATAAACATTCTTAATTTCTAAATAAATAAAATAATTATAATTTAAGTAAAATTATTCAGTATAAAATATTTATATAGTGCTTATACAATACTTCTGATATTGAAACTTACATGAGTGAGCCACACTGATTGAATGTTTCATCTGAATAATCGGTACAGTCTGCTATACCATCGCATAAACCACTTTCAGCAATGCATTGTCCATTATTGCATTTAAACTGATTCTTTGCACATAATGTAGTTGCATTGTATAAGGTGCCTGTACATCTAGATAATGTTTCATCACTATTGTCAATGCAGTCTTTTATCCCATTACAAGTAGCATCTCCATCCACACATGCACCATATGAACAACGAAATGCATAATCTGGACATGTGATTTCAGGTTTACTACACTCTGTAAATGTTTCATCGGACATATCTCTACAGTCAGCTCGTCCATCACATAATAATTCACTTGCTATACACTGTCCATTTTTACATTGAAATTTTTCTATACTGTAAAAAAAAATATTAAATTCACAATAGAATAATATTACTATAAATTTGTTTTTTTTTTTTTTTAAATATTGCTAATGAAATAACTAAGATATTTCGTTAATATAAAATAACTATGTAAAAAGGTTTATTAACTCACCTACATTGTGCATATCCATGCTCTATAAAACCTGAAGAATAAAGAGATCATATATTTTATTGATCACATATTTTTATCTATATTTTATATTTAATCTATAATTTTGACATGTAATTTTACTTCTACTTTACTTTGTATTATTTTGCAACTTTTGTTTTAGTATGTACTTTTGATGTATAAGTATGACATATACAACAATTCTTCAAAGTTCAAGGTCATTACTAAACTGGTTTTGAAATACTTCAGACATTTCATTTTTTTCATTCAATACTAATGGAATTGATAAAATATTAAAGGAAAACCATAAAATATAAAAAGAACTTAAAGTTATTTTTAATCTGTTTATAAGAAAATTAGAACTACAAAATATAATATAAAATATAAAAGCTACAAAATCATGAAGAATTATATATTTAAAATAGCAACATATAGAAAGAAAAATAAAATAAATAAAGTAGTAACATTACACCCCTGAAATTAAACTTATATTCAAGATACATTTTAAATAGTAATATTGCAGATAATTTTTTATTTTAATATATTTACCAAGACTTACCAAATATACTTTATTGTAATTTTTAAATAAATTTGGATTGTATTAATTACAAATCAATACAATTATTAACAGTAAATACATGATTGAAAATTTATCAAAATTAATACTTAAAAATAAAAATACAAAATTTCTTTTAAATTGTTAAAATCGTAGTTCTAATTTAATTTGAAATAGATTATAAAATTTGTATCAAAAATATGACAAGAATAAATTTACTTACTATATATAATTGTTAAAATAAATGTTACTATTATATTTTTCATAATAATGAATAAAATTTCTAAAAAAGACTCCTCTAACTTTCCAGTCGGACCGTCGATCGTTTACTGATCTTGGATCAATCTGGGATTACCCAACAGCAACATACGGATCTACAAGTATTCATACTGTCATGTATGTGTGTTTGTGAGGGAAATACGCGGACGTCTATTTAGTGCATCCTTCTTCAAAGATTATACGTACAAGAGAAACAAAAATAAGATACAGCTAATATTTCCTATAATTCAAAGAAGAACAACAAGGAAAAGTAAAATTATCATAATTACTTACACATATTAAAGCGCGATAATTTAATACTTTTCAAAGAATTTTTATTTTCATAAATAAAACGTAAAAATGATAAGATAAGCACACTATATTCAAGTAAGTTGTACTTAAATCTTTTATGTATAGGCAACAATATCACAGTTTAAAAAATAGTTAAAGGTAATTATTGACAAATATATTTAATGTAGTTTTGATAAAGAAATACAATGATTTTATGTTATACATTTATATTAGACTACATGTCTAAATGCAAATCTCTTTGATGTCAGAAAAGATGCCAACCAATGTAGCATTCTATAGTATATTAATTAAGGTAAATATTTTCAATAAAGTATTCTATGATAAAAGAATAATAATAAAATATTTAGTACATGATCATATAAAAAAGGATACACTTTATTTGATATTTCAGTATCTATTATTTCCTGTAGAATATGGTCTTTATAAAATTTTTCAACTTCATCATTACATTCTTTCCAGTCTAATGTTTTGTGAAACCCATCTTCTCCAAATCTTTTATTATAGTATTCATAATGTACCTAACCAAATAAAGATATTAATTTATTAATTTTAGTTCTACTTAGAATGAATTAAAGTTAATATATCTTACAAAATGTAAACTGAGTCCAAGACCGGGTGAAAGAGGAATATCAATTTTTTCCAATGAAAATGCATCTTTGATGATGTCACTTGTTACAATATTTCTACAAATCCCTATAACTAAAGATACCATTTTTCTAATTTGATGCAACATAAAACTTTGACCTTTTACTTCCAATACAGCAAATTCCATATTATTTGCAATAAATGTTTCAATACAACGGAAATATATTATGTAACGCTTGGCTCTTGGATCCAATGGCTTTCTAAAAGTATTAAATAACATAATATAGTGAATAATATAATTAAATAATAAAATAAAATTAAATACTAAAATTAAATAAAAAATGATACTTCATTATACAAAATAACTTACACTTTTGATGTAAAATTATGAAAATTATGTGTGCCCTCAAATAACTTTAAAATTTCATGTAATTTATTAAGCATTTCTGGAGACAATCGAAATTCATTATATGGCTTTCCAGCTATCATAGAAAGTTGTTCAAGTCGTTTTTCTTCATCTATTTCTTCATCTTCATCAACTTGAAGAAAAGCTAAATCCTCTGGAGCCAAAGTAAATGTAGGAAGGACATACCTATATGTTCTAGCATCACATTTAGTTTTACTATTAAAAGATTTTGTTACCCGCTTTATGTCAAATACTCTGATGTCCTGTGGTAGGTGTTCATTTACATCTTCCTTATTCACATTAATAGCTACAAATGATTATTATTGAAATATGTAGAATGAAATGCATTAAGAAACAAAAATAAAATAATGAATTATTTCTTTAGTGTTATCCTTAAACTCTTAACAATAACTTATTATTTTAATATCTCTAATTATCTTCATTTAAAATTATTATAATTTATATAATTGGGAAACATGAGACTTAATAAACAATTTATTACTTACGCAATAATAGGGATACAATTTGCCTAACTGCTGATACACCTTTATCCGTACGAGCAGCTCTTTGAAATCTAATTTCTCTCACATCTTCAAATTGGGAATTTGTAATAAAATTTGCTTTTAATAAAGCAGTTAATAAACTTTCTTCGATAGTTTTTGTACCACGATTAATTTGCATACCAAAGTAATTTCTACCAAGATAACCTAACATTATTACAAAGTTTTTTCGCTTAACATTGCTTTCTTTTTGTACTACAGCTTCAATTGCTTCTACCTTTGGAGCTTTTGCTATAATTTCATAATCTGTATCAATACATTGTCTTTTATTAGATTGTTCATTAATGTATTTATCTTGACTGCTGGTAATAATCTTCTGAGCCATGTTCCTACATAAGATACTATCTAGAAATAAATATATATAATTAATATAAGAATAAAAATAATCTAATTTATGATTTACAATGTCTTATATTCTTTTTTAATTATATTATATTTATTAT